CAAAGGTGCAAGGGACGCTCGCCAAGCGAGGGACGTAAGTCGGGCTTTGAGAAAGTCTAGGCTAGTTTATACTGATAGTTTCTTCCGAAGTTTTCAAACTGTCCTGAAATATTTCCTTAAGCATTACGGGGCTCAAATCTCCTTTTAATTAAAAACGGGCAATTTGAGCCCTTAACGTACGGGAAAGATTTAACGACTGTTTAAAAACTTCAGAATTTACAAGGATTTGTATGAAAAACCATTCAAGCGGGACTGGGTGGCAAGAGTTGTTTTTCTCATACAAATCCCTCTAATTTTCGGCGGCCGTTGCAATCGCTACTTTTGAGACATACGGCTGAAAATTTACAGGTTACCTAATTTTAGCTCATTCAGCTAGTGCTAACAAAATTTTCGAAAGCGAACTGTTTTTGTGTTTACCGAAAGTTGATCAACTAATGCAAGCGGGACACATTTCGGTTCCAGTTACCTTCTTGTTTCTAAAGTGGCGATTATGAAGGATGAGTGAAGAAGCAAAACAGGTTAAGACATACCAGACCATCCAAGATGTGATAAAATGACTGTAGTAGAAAGTCGTTGCTTTTGAGGAGATATCACATGAAAGTCATCGCGTTTGGGAATGAACCACTGGCAACTTAAATCAGGAAATACAACCTGCAAGATGTTATTATAATGACTGGTATATACAGGAGAGTTGTTCAGGAGGTTAACTACAGTTGAACTTCCATGGAGCGGCCACTCTCGGGCGGGGTACCGGCAAGTGGCCGCTTTAAGAAGGTTGACCGCTCAATAGAGGTTCGTCATAAATTTGTATAATCTTTAGCAGAAACATCACTTTATTTTGAAACAAACGCACGAAGGGAGCAGCATTACTGGTCCACAATCGGTCGTCACCTTCTATGTCGGACTGTATTTTATTTCACCGTATTCTTGAAATAAAGCTAAACAAAGTGTATCAAACGCTTTATTGGCTGCTTAATAGAGGTGACAACAATGGGAGAACTCTCGTTGGGACGGACAAAAGGTGGCCTCGGCCGCTTAACAGAGGTGGTCTCTTACAAGAAGTCTAAGGGCCTGTTTACATGGAGGTGGGGGACCCCAGGTAGGTGAGGTAACATGGGGCGGGTCACCCTACCCATCAGGTAAACGTGATCAAATAAAAATGAGACATTATATGGACAGGCGGGTTGTCCCCCAGCTCCATGTAAACCGGCCCTAGGCTCCGATTTTTTTCTACAATTATTTCGGGACTTTGATTACTGGCCGCTTAATGGAGGTTCAACTGTATTAACAGACACATCCAAATGGGAGCATGGGTGGTGAAGTGTTGAGAGCACTCTCCTTCCACCAATGTGGCCCGGGTTCGTATCCTGACGTCGACGTGGATTGAGTTTGGATTGAGTTTGTTGTTGGTTCTCTCCTTTGCTCTGAGAGGTACTCCAGTTTTGCCCCTCCTTAAAAACCAACACTTTCAAATTCCAATTCGATCTGGAACGCACGGACACGTTTCAACGAGTTCTTATGAACTCTTAAGTGCTCCGTATAGATAAACAAATTATAATTTACATAGCTTGCGTAGCAGGCACTAGGGAATAAATGGGCGCAAGAAAGGACGGGCGCGCGCGAGGGAGACACGCAAGGCGCCCATTTATTTCCTAGCGCCTGCTACGCAGGCTACAATTTACAATTCTTTTACGAGGAAATAATGGTTATGCAACATTCCCCTCCTCTCAAACCAATAGTATCTAGTCTTTCTTCAACTACAAACAACATTCCGGCGTGGGGGGATTTACGGCGTTTAAACATAATTGTATGATTTACAAATGATTCTCAAACGCATTAATAATTCATAAAGAGAAAACAGTTAATCACAACCGTGACGGTACGGTGGTTAGGATATCGGATCTTAATTACTATAAACTTTTGCGAACTTTATCTTTGAATTTCTTCAAGAATTCTTGTTCATTTGAGAAGCTATATCAAAAACTTCCCTCAGTGTTTCATTCGATATCCAGACAACTCGAGGGCGGTCTTAAAAAACTTAGCTGTGCCTCATTTTTCAACCCACTTCTCGGTGTCTGAATATCGGATGAAACACTGCGTGTCGTTTTTGATATATTACATGAAATTGTTGACACAAGCATTTTGACGCTTTTGTCACTGATTATAGATTTTGCCGTTTATCAGTAAGAACAATTCAATACAATGATAAGTGCCATACTGACCTGCACTCTGACCTTGCTTGCATCTCCCACATTCTCCAATACTGCTTCAACATTGATTCCCAATGTCAGGCCAGCAGAGAAGCATAGGGGATTGTCTGAACCGCCATGTGGCTCGTTTATGACTGCAGATGCTTGATGCAAACTGTTCGTCAACTGTAATTGTGCAACATGATAAGACAGAACGATGGAGTGAACATAATTCATTACCTCCGACGGGTTAGTGATGTTAGATTCAAAGAAACTGGGAAATGAGACAACCGCTGCCGAAAAAGCATCCGTGTGAATGTTCTCCTCGTTGATAAAGTTTGAAAATGTTTTGATTCTCATCAAAAAAGACTCCCATATCTGAAGCATGGAATTTAAGCTTCTGTCACGCGCGCTGCTGTAACGTTGTGTGACGAGAATCTGTAACGCATGCGCAATGAGCCTCAACTGCCGTAGTAAGAACATTTGTTGATGACTAAGGCCCATAAACGTATGTTCAATGCGATAGGACGTTAAGAGAATGTTTTCCACTAAGGATTTCAGTCTCGACCCCTGATGTGTGCAAAGCACTGCAGGTACGCTCCATATTTTGTCATTCTGAGCCTGCAATATCATTCTGTGACACTGAAGGTACAGAGAAAGGCACTCGGCATCACCACTAAGAGACGAATTGATGCTCTTTATATGAATCAAATCTTGAATGGCTGTTTGAAGACCTTGCTGGGCATTTACCGGATTCTGTGATGCAATGCACTGAAGCCGCAACTGGATGCTTTCAAAAAACCTCTTTGCCTTTTGGGATCCTAAAAGAAAATGGACAGTGACAACAGCGAGTTATTTCCTCACAACTGAGTAATATCACACATGAAATTACTGTTGTGGATCAGAGTACAGCAGACGTGTCCCGTTTACATTATCTATTAACATGATAATAGTAAGCTCGGTTTTCTAGTTGGCCACCATATTACATTTTTAAGTTTAAGATAAGGAGCCAAGGAAAGCAAGGGTGTCCCTGTAAAATGGAAATAGCGTAGAATGCGGTTTTGTCACAAAACCTCATTCTACGCTGTTTTGGCTAAACTCTGTTTTAAAACCAGCCCTCAGGGTTCAACTAACTCCTCACCTTCTTCTTCAGTTATCCTGTGATCTATGTTGACATCAACTTTCTCTATATCCAGATGTGGTACCAGATCAGGTTGACTGTCACGCAGGTATCCATAGTGACGGGTGGTGTAACCTGGAAACATGGTCAGCATTGTGGGACTTTTAGCCGTAGCATTGAACACCAGAATAAGAATGGCTACGTAAGCAGGATCATCAATGGACGGCTCAGGTGTGGCAAAGAATGGATGAGTAGACAGTAGCTCAGGTGTAAGGGATGACGCAAGATGTTGATGCTTTTCACCCAGAAATTTGGCACATCTAAAAGTAAAGAGAAAAAAGATATCGTAAGATTAAAGGGGCTCTGTCATGGCTGTCTAGTTTTTTTGTTAACATTGCCAATAGAGAGGAGAAGTCGTTACGTAACGTTGCCATGGTAGCAAAATTTCTGGATGACAAGAAAGCGAAAAACGGCACTTAAAAAGTGAATTCGCACTGTTTGACTTCATCGATCTTATTCAGTTTCAATTAATTTGTCAAATGTTTGCTAAATTTTCTTCATTTTCTCTTATGCTTTACGTCATGCTGTAGTCATGTGAACGCTATATTTAAGTCAATTTTTCAGAATTTTATAGGTTTACGCAGAATTTGTCTACGTGCAAAGTACGTAACTTAGTTTTCATCATTCGTTTGGTAGTTGTAGCAATTGATTGTGTGGCTGATAAATCGAAACTGGAATGAAAGCTACTTTTTTTTGAATGAAAAACACACTCTTATGTCCTCAATTTAGTACCCAGAACGCTGGAAATCACATTTTAGGGCTTTGAAATTTCCAAATATTTATGGGGAAGTACGCCCCCAGATCCCCCTAGAAAAAGAGGACTAACGGCCCCTTGTTGATACAGTCGGATACTGTTTTCAAGCCTACTGGCTACTTCAATTTTTATTGAAACCCCTACGTGTTATCCGAAACAGCTGTAAGCGCGTGCAAAACATGGCAGGTATTGTGAATAAGGTCCATTATGTCATTATAAGGGATCATGAATATTCAATGGGGTTCGAATAAGATGTAATTTAAAGAAACAGTTCGCTTGCATATTATCACATGACCTACACTTAGAAAATAAAACATACAAGCTAAAGAGGTCTATTCTTAACTCTCATCTCTAGTGCAGCAAGCACTGATGACTACCCAAAGCAGCTCTTACCTCCATATAGACGTCCTGTCTTGAGGATATTTTGACAAGTTTCCTAGCAACGCATGGATGGTGGCATGAAGACTTGCCCGGGTGGATAACGTGCAGTTACACAACAGCTCGCGCACTGCTTCTCTGGTGTCTCCAGAGAAGTCTTCCAGCACACCTAATAGTGTTTCCAACTGATCTTCCCTCAATTGAACATGCTTGCTTATCTTACGCAGACTGTTGATGGCATTTAGTCGCACTCTTTCAATTTCATCATTCATCATGTCAGCCAGGAAATCCAGTGACAGGACTGCAAAAGGAGCGTTGCGATAAGCCAACTCGCAGAGGGAATCAACAGCAGCAGTTCGCACTTCCAAGAACTCATCCTCCAAGCCATGGACAAATGCTCCGCATGCACCACTACTCATGAGGCTGATATCCTCAGGGTCAATCTCTGGTTCCGGTGCTTTATCACCCCATGTTCGTCCAGTGCTCCAGCCCTCATCAGCTCCACCTGCTGCATGAATTTCCTTGCGCTTCTCATGTTCAGTCTTCCTTTTCTAAAATGCAAGTATAAAAGAGTCACTAAGAAGGGCAATGTAAAGTTTTGGAGAGATAAAAAACAGCAAGTAACAGCCTATACAGTTATCAGTTAGAGTACCATCCCACCGGTTGACCTCCAACAATTATCACATAAATATTCTGAACAAATCCCCCCAACACCTTAGAGCAACATTTTCCCACACGACAACATTAGTATGCTACAGTATTAACCTTTTTTTCCCAATAGTGCTCAAAATCAATTTTCTCCTAACTATATCCATAGACTATCATGAGCAAAGTCTATGAGAATTAACAAAATGATCACAAAGAGAAAAATATTTGATCGTTTACCAAATTCTCTCAGCTAATTCTTGAAGGAAATGTATGGAGATCAGTTTGGAGAATTTGTATGTGGATATTGGGACTCAAAGGGTTAAATGACTGAAACAGCAGCTAAGGATTTTTGCTTTTCAGGATACCTTTACACCTTACAATTCAACCACAAAGGTTGCACAGAGAACATTTCCCAACCTGATCAGTCACAAAAAGCTTCAATGTAGAAGGCTATAAAATGGGCATTTTCGGGTTCAAATTATTGCGTGTAAAACAATGATAAGCATTTCATCTTTCTTACATTATAGTAACATTATAGTATCAGGGTCCGAAATTAACTTTTTAATAGGGGCGCCAACTGGCGATCAAGTATAAATTTTTGGTCCCCAGAGGGCAAATTGTGGTCGCCAAAAATTCCCCCTCCCTTTTTTTCAAATAAAAGTTAAACACGAATGAAAAATGCATGGTATGGGCGTTTTATGCTCAAAAATTGCACTACTTTCGCTCTCGATACCAGAAAGCAACCGTACGTGTACGAGTGAAGTCTTATTTTTTCCACAAATTACTTTTTGGAGATATAAAGCTATCTAACCTAGAACATAGGAACAGAAAGCTGTCTGCCCATGACTGCACTACTCATATCAAAACTCTTCCGATAACTACCACGAAACACGAAACATAAACACGAGTCAAGCTTGAGTCAAGCTTGAGTCAACACCGCGGCAAAACGTCTACGAATGCGCCAGGTTGAGCATTTCCGGTCTCTTTTTCAGTCACACTTTCCAGTCAGATCAAAGTCTCCTGCGCGCTCTCGGCTTCTGTGTGCAGCTTGTGGTTCAGTTGTTCTGCTTTATGCTGCTCGTGTTTTTGACTATTTTGTACTTATTGAAATTGCTTTTATGGATAACCAGGCACAGATCACTGAAACAATTAGTCGATTAGATTCAGAAAAGGTAAGATGATAATAACTCAGTGTGTAATTTTGGCTAGAGCGTCAGGTAAACTGATTTTCATTCACGAAAATAAAGTTTTTGACTGTTATTTTTCACTTAACCTGGCTGAAACTAAGACATAAAATTAAAACGTTATCATTGCAAGCTTGTGTATTGTAGTTCTAATTTTCAGTTCTTCAGTTTCTCAGTCTACATGTGTTAAAGCCGATTCAAACTTTATTTGGAAAACGACAACACACAATCGCTTTGTAGTTTTGTTTACCAGTGGGTTTTACCGTGTTTTAAAACGAAACTCTTCTGGGTTGATTGCCATGAAACATAAGCTTAATTATACTGTTGAGCCGGTTGGCAGCAAGTTGACAACTCTATTTATTTATTTTTTCATTCTCAGAATCAGAGAGCGAAAGCTGGTTCAGTGGCTTTTAGAAGTCGAACTTTTCATGCCTTGTATTTAGCAGCTAGAAGTTTCGTGTTTGCATGAGATGCAGCCGAGCCGCACAGTCTGAAATTATTGAAGTCTTCAACAAAAGAACAACCATGTAAAAGAATTAAATAGGCATTTTCTTCAATGAAAGTCATTTATAGGCATGTCTAGTTTCCCGGTGACTGCAGTCATCAAAGTCAAAGTTGTTATTAAATCCCGCCCATCTTTTGTTTTGAGTTCTTGTTTTCACAAATTATTGAACGGACTAAAATTTTATTTCCTGGTTTTAGTTTATTTATGATAATGATGACGTCTTTATTTTGGTTTCTTTCATAAGTATTGTTATTCTTTTCTTAGTTGTCGCCTTCTCCCAAATTAACTTATGCCAAACCAGTAGCATGCAAGAAAGCCAGTAAAAACAAATTCGTCTTGTCGAGCGCTCGCGAGCTACTGCGAACTTCAAACATGATTTTCACCGTTGGTGCAAACAGATAACCATGTGGTGCAAAAGTTTGAGAATAGAAAAATATATAAGCTTTCGAATGAAGTGATTTTTTGGGCCCCCTTTTTTGTCTGTTTCGCCCTTTTTGCTTTTAAACTTGGCGCGACGGCAAAGTTATGCTTACGCTATTGGTTTATATACTAGACCGGAAATAAAAAGCTGACCGGATATTAAATTTTGTGCTCATGCGCATTGCGTTTTGCCGCGGTGTTGCTTGAGTCAAGCCGCCTTGTTGCTCGTACCAGGCCACAACTGTGCCACATTACTCGTACCAGTCCACAAAGTACATAACGTACTTACCGTATTTCAGCTGAAAACAACATGGCGGCTTGGAAACGTTCAACTCGTATTGATCGTAGCTGTTGTGTAGGTATTATTACAAGAAGATTCGTTTCACTTTTAATTAAAAAATATCAGCAGGACAAAAAAGAAGACACCTGTTGGCAAATAGCTTCGAGGTTTCAATTCTTAATCAGTTTCTCCGAACGTTAAAGTCCACAATAACAACCAGCTTTACAAGTCGCTAGCTGGCGACCAGCTATGAAATTCTTGTCGCCAGGACTAAATTTTTAGTCGCATTGGCGACCAGGAAGGCGCAATTTCGGACCCTGAGTATATTGAAAAGTTGTCTTACTTTAAGGTGAGACATAAGCTTCTTATCCAAAGTCTGCTCCAAAAACTTTGGACTGACAAGATGGAGTGATCCTAGCAACCGTGCAGCCTCTCTGCGCACATTCATTGACAAGTCATTCACCATGTGACAGATTTTGATAAAAGCATCATCTATGAGCCGGGCCTCATCTGATGAAGGCAACTTGACAATTCTGCGAAGTTATGAGAAATTTAACTCAACAGCAACATCCTAACATCCGTAATTATCCGTTCTGGGTTCTGCTTTAGAATATATATTTGTGTTTAATAAAGCATGGCTTACAAGACAGCTTCATCATCCAGCAGGGTTAAGGGTAGACTGGTAGGCAGGACATAGGTATGCACAAATGGGATCTGCATTAGTAATGTAGAAAATAAGTATTGTAGAGAAAATAAGTTTTGTAGATGGATGGATGAATGCATGGATGGGTGGATGGGTGGGTGGGTGGATGGATGGGTGGATGGGTGAATGGATGGGTGGATGGATGGATGGATGGATAGAAAACTTTGTTAATGTGACAGAACTGTATAGCTTGGTAAAAACCCCAAAAATATAATTTGGGGACACAATTTATATTCATTGGAATTATGTATACAATATAAAAGTATAAATATCAAAACTACGCATAATGCATTACGATCCAATGAGAATGTAAAATGAGTAACATTCGCTATAAGACTGAGAAGAATTGTAAAATTAAATGATTATGATGAGCAGAGAAAACAGCCCCTACATCCATCATCTATCACTGAGCTTACATCCCCGGCGGGGGGAGTACTGCCATATATGGGCTATATAGGTAGGTGCCTCTGTGATGGGTATGGTTTTCAAGCAGTTTACTCTATGATAGGCTATATATCTCAGCGCATTTGGGTCTACAATAGGGTATCATTTTTCAGGAAACTGATCAGTTGGTTGAAGATTTTATCTAGACTAGGGATTGTGGTATAGGGTTTTTTTTGGCTAGACTGTCCCAGTGACCTCAGTAGTTTCTGGAAAACAGCTACTCTAGGATAGGGGGGATTTGGGGAGTTTACTCTAGTATAGGGTAGCAAAATTCAGCTGAATTAGCTCTGGTATAGGTTAAGGGTTAAAGGGTCCCACCGGCACATCCCCACCCAGAAATCCCTAAAGTACCCCCCCCCCCCCCCCCCCCCAACCATCTTTACATTTTTTTCACAATCGATGTCTTGCTACATTCCCCTTTGTCTTCTATCCATGTCTTTCTAGATATAATTTGTAATGCTACTCCTTTGCAGGTTCTCATGAGCAACCTTTGGTGGTTTTGTTAAAAAGGCGCTCTTGGGGAGGGGGGGATTTGGGGGTTTTCCCTAATATAGGGGGGCAAAAATCCGCCTAATTTACCCTGGGATAGGTTTAGGGTTTAAGGGGCCCCCCCGCCCCACCCCCCCCAAAAATCCCCAAAATACCCCCCCCCCCCCCCGGGCTTACATCATTTTTATCTTTTTGTTCAACTTGATTTGGGTCAGCTTTCAGCTTTGTTTCATAACCAGTCTCCTCTACTAACTATGGTGATACAATGTACTTTGGGAGTTAGCAAGGAAAGAAAAGCAGTCGATTTTCTGATCTATTGCACCATCTAATGATTTCTCTTTATGAGTGAACGAGAAATGGGAACAAAGACATTTTTAAAATCAACCACTCAGGTAGCAAGCAACACACCATAAGACACAACATATTCCAGAAGGACTAGTGTGTAAAATAACCTTCATAAATATATTACAGAGATTACCAATGAGATCAAGGTCTTTAGTTGGCAGATGTGAGACTTATGCATTATGCGTTATACAGTTCTGTTGGCAGATACGTATACATGTAATACATTAACCAAACATGATCAATACACTCTAACACTGAGTTTAGGGGGCCTATGGCATTCGACTAACTGTATGCCATATATCAGAATCTTGATTGCAATGCTACATTTATTTCAAGCAGTAAACCCCTGTTCAGAGTAACAAGCACTAAATTAAAACTAACCTTTCAGGATCTGCTTGACTAAAAACCCAAATCAGCTTAATGGCCACCAATCGGACAGCTTCATAGTCATCATCCATTGCTAGTGAGGCTTGATCATATACTGCTATGCCTAAGGTATGACCTCTCTCATGTAGCGTAAGCTAGAACAAAACAAATGCTGTTTAAATGTGGTCAAAGATTACAACAACTTTCCTGTGTAAATCATTTTTTCCCTCAACATGTAATCTTCAAGTGCTTAAGGTGGCTGAACACAGTTTTGCTGGCGGTAAGCGGTAACTCACGTGACGGCGCGTGTTTTTTAATTAGATAAACAAACATGGCAAAAAAACCAATGGTTCACATAAGACAATATTTCTCAAAATCTGCTCATTAAAATTTTGTGATATTTGGCAGAATTCTTTCTTTTATCGTGTTTTCGATAATGAGAACCTTAAAATGGAAGTTGGACAGATGAATTTTGTGACACATTTAATAGTTACAGTACAATTATATTATTGATTATCTGAAAACCCGTCTGTTAAAATTTGGTCAAATAAGTTTCAAATAGTAATGATTAATTATAGTAAGATGTGTGCAAGTTTATAGCAAAATCTAATGAGTGAACTTTATGAAAACTGAGCAAAGGTGAAATTTTAAGGTTGTATTCAATCGTTCATGTTGCCATGGAAACTACGAAAATGTCAAATTACATATACTCACAACCCGCCAAAACTCTGTTCAGCCACCTTAACATTTTGAGCCAAGGCCAAATGGTTAAGACAAAGGGTGATAGTTTCAATGATAATGACAATTTCGCCATGAAGTGTTGCCTATTATCACCATTCTTAATTATCAAGTGCCTTAAACATGTTCAAATTAAATTTTGTCATTGTGGCTACTGTAATAATTTATTTTTCTGCTTGAATGCATTCAGAATAGCAGATGATAGCTTGTTGTTTAGTAGTTGTTTCTAATCTGCCCTTCACAAGTTTACTTAAACTTGGAAAACATTAAAAACTCAGTTGCATTGTTCCTAAGATGAATACAAAACAATGGTAGTGATCAACAACAGTTGAAACTTCCTTGACCAGTAATTATTGTCTTCCAAGAGGGCTTAACTTCTACTTAGTAGTATTATTACTCAATGATAGTAATAATAGAAATAATAATAATAATTTCTTACATGTAAGCATTGCACATTTGTCAATATCAAAATTTCAATTGTGCATTACAATGATAAAAAGCTAAAAAAGATGAAATTTAAAATTTACAAGAATTAACAAAATAAACGTAAAATATATAATATAGAAATAAAATGTACATTTAAAAAGCTTTTGCAAATACAAAAGATTGTGATAGCTTTCTTGAAACTTTGCACAGATGTGATGTTCCTTATTCCACTCTGAAGATTTTTCCCTGGTTTAGGGGTGGCCACATGAAAACAACAATCTGCGAGCGTGGTGAGGGATCTACATGAACTATAATTAAGGTGTAAACTAGTGCTGGAATGTAGGTTACCGTATTTATTCGATTAACTGCCCTGGGCGCTTATTAAATATTTGGACCTTGAGAGTGGGCACTTATTTGAGGTGGGCGCTTATTGGAGGCTGGGCGCTTATTAAATTTTTACCATTTTCAGCAAACGTAGTATGTTTATTTTGCATCAAAACAATAAATGCTAATAACAAAACGCGAAGAAGTAACAAAGCAAGGTTTCACTGTAATACTCTGAAGAAAACTTCGTCCTCGGGGAAGTCTCTTATTAGCATTTATTCACTCAAGTGGGTGGGGTGGGGGTGAGCGCTTATTTGAGTTTGATTGGGAGGAGGAGGGGGTGGGTGCTTATTTGAGGCTGGGCGCTTATTAACTTTTTCTGCCTTTAGGATGGGCGCTTATTGGAGGTGGGCGCTTATTCGAATAAATACGGTATGTCTTCCAGTAGTGTCTCTAACAGAAATAAGTTGACTTATGTAGACTGAGGCAACATCATGTATGGCTTTAATGAAAACCTATATACAGTCAACTCCCTCTAAGACGGACACCTTTGGGACCACCAGTAAGTGTCCATCCATAGAGAGATGTCCGTCTTATAGAGTCAAATAAAGGGAGTAAAGAAAGGCAGGGACCAACTCTAGGTGTCCGTTTTTGAGAGGTGTCCATCTTATAGAGGTGTCCGTTAAGAGAGAGTCAACTGTAATATAATATTACTGGCAGCCAGTGCTGTGACCAGAGCGGCAGTGTGATACTTACCAAAGCCTGTAAGGCACTTGTGCGCACTCGAGGGTCACTGTCATCTGAGAAGCTGGCTAGCAAACCCTGCACCCCTCCCTTTGAGCTTTGCCCTACCCAAGGTGGAGAACTCTCTTGTTCCGGAGTCACGTGTCCAATCAGTGAAAGACACTGACAGCGTACCAAGGTGTGGGGATCTTTAAGGTACTTTTAAGAAAAAAAAGAACAATGTAAGTTTTAAAATGTGTATGTTAGTGTACAAAACAAAAGCATAGACTTTAAGATTGTTACATAAATACCTGGGTGGCTATCTTTTCGATTTGGTGGACAATCTTTACCTAGGGTGAGAATGACAATGCATAAACTTCTGTTAGTCTGTATATATAGCACTGGGTCTCTACAGAATTATTAAAATAAAACATTTCTTTTACCGTATTTGTTTTAATGAAGCAAATCAAATTTACACAACTGACTTTCCAGAGAATGCACTTAAGCTAAAAAAAAAAAATATCACAGAAACTCCGAATAGAGAGGAGAAGTGCGAATAAGTCACATTACCATGGTAACAAAATTTCTGGATTACAACAATAGGGAGCTTGAGCAAAGAGGAAGGTCACAGCAATGAGAGCAGGAAAAAAAGCAATAGGTATATATTTTTAGCAAAACAATAAATGCATTTCTTTTAATTCTTGTACATTCTTAGCCATCGTTCATGAATGCGACATGAAACTTTTTTAATTTCACGCGCCTGCTTTATGGAGTAGGTGAACACAACACAAAGATTTTCTTTTTCTTTTTCTAAACTCACATGTACAGCTGTATATACGATCCTTTCAGATTCAACTGCAGAAAATTTTGCGAAAATTTTGCGAATTTTACGAAGCTTGATAGTGCTTTTATGTAAGAGCTTCCAATGCAAATAACATTTACCATTGGCGACAAGCTTAAAACGACTTAACCTGGGAAACATCTAGCCCCTATACAGCTACTCGTGTATCCAGCTGACGAAATGATTTGTATCGTGTCCCATTTGAAACAGTATATAGCGTGTACGAAGCCACTACCACTACCCTAACCCTAACTTTAGCTTACCTTCCATGATTGCCACAAAAAGTGATTTATTATACTTTAAATTGCAGCATTAAAATAAGTTAGAGATTATTACATTTATCGCAATACCATAACTACGACATAAATCTGCACTGACTTGTCTTTATATCAGCACGTCATGCCCCTGTGGAGCTGAACATGGTTCTGCTGAGCGCTAAACGCACTAAGAAGTGTTGTGAAGTATTTTGTAGGTTATTTTTGAGGATCAATATTTACCAAGCCAGGACTCGACGCAGAACTGGACAATTTTTTGCTTTCCCACCATTTTCACCTCCTGCATTATAATCTCTTCGGCTCCGTAGCAGTCAGGGAGTTTTAATTTGGTAATCATTGATTCATTTATTTGCTGTTCACCAGATTTCAATAGCGGTAAGTTGTTGCCTTGCGAGGGTGATTTATTTGGAAAGCAGTGTTATTTTGCTTTGATTTCGCTTTATCAGGTTAAAACAAAAGAATTATTAAAGAGTCTTTTTTTGATACCTTGTGATACTCTGTGATGTCTTGTGATACTTTGTGATACCTTGTGATACTCTGTGATGCCTTGTGATACCTTGTGATACTCTGTGATGTCTTGTGATACCTTGTGATACGTACCTTGTGATACTCTGTGATGCCTTGTGATACCTTGTGATACTCTGTGATGCCTTGTGATACCTTGTGATACTCTGTGATGTCTTGTCTGATACTCTGTGATACCTTGTGATGCCTTGTGATGCTGTACTTGTGATGCTGCGTGTTTTAAAGTCTTGTACTAATACTAAAATTCGTGAACCAAATGTGTGACCTCATACGATAAGTTTATGGTAGAACAGACCTGCATGATACTGAGGTGATCCCACTAAAAACTCATGCTAATAAGGTATAGTGATTGCGTGGCTATGTGATGTGATCACAGACTTTGTGTCCTTAATCAGTTATCCCCAAATCATGCACTGGAAAGTTGAATTTAGTGCAGGCTATTTTCAGAATGTGAACGTGGATGGAGCCACTGTCAGTAATAAAGGAATAAAAACGACACAACCTAGTCTGTCTTTATCAGCTCAGGAGAGAGCTGTGATCCAACAAAAGTTTTAGACACCTTACGTCTTACAGTTTGTTTCTTAATTCTTAGTTGTGTCCTAAACATAGATTTGTTTACTAGCGAAATTCATGTCAATAGTGAGCTTATAGTGAAGGAATGAAAGGGAAACAACCAAGTAGATCTTCATTAGTTCAGTTCCTGGTGTGCAACTGGAGCTGTGATCCAGTTGAAGTTTACTCTTAATTCTTAATTGTGCCCTAAACATAAATTTGTTTACAACAGAAATTACTATCAGTTACTAGAAAGTAGTCTATTTAGCATCCATTTCGAAACTCATGACCCCAGTATTTTCTTCCTCTCTTGTGACAAAATTTTGTTTGTAAGGAGATATTTCCTTTTTTTTAAACCAGGTTACGCTGTTCTCTAAACTACAAGCAATGGCTGCCAAGTTTTACATTTGCATGCTGCTGGTAACCCTTGTGAGCTCAGCTGTGTACAGTGCGCGGCTGCGTCTCCCACAGGACAAAGAGACAACCTCCAACTTTCTCTCTGAGATAATTTTTCAAGGTAACTTTCGAAGCTTTTAAAGCCCACGCGCTTAAACGTTATTTGTTATAGGCAACGAATTTGTGATATTTTTTGATATTGTGATACTTTGAGACGCGCATGAACTGAATTTTTTGTTTTCGTATTGCAAATGCCAGGCGTCATTACTTGGGATAGGAATCCAACGCCGGACTGAGAGTAACCACTACTCGTTCGTTGTACATTGTGAGATAAAAATATTTTATAAGGTAATGACTTTTTCCTCACCTGTTTACAGATACAAAAAGAGGAATTTGCTGCGAAGTTTCATGCTATCATTGTCCAGGACAGGGTTATCATCCCTGCCCGCCCCCAGCGGGGTGCTTTCCATTTGGCCGAGGCTGCATTTTGGGACAAATGTGTTGCTGCCGTTTCTGACCTCGGTAAGATTAATCAAGCAAAGTGTATGTCCTCAAATATGTTACAATATGATTCTGATTCTATCGCTTATTTTTTCATAGTCTTTACACCTTGTAATTAAGTGGATTGTTTTCACTGTTACGCAATAAATCCGACATGAAAAAATAAATCCCAAATTTTTGCAAACATAAAAGCCAAGTAAATGAAATGCTAAATGACTAGCGCATAAACAACTTTTTCAAGTCCCAGGTCTATGTGGCTCCCCTTTTCTTGTGGTTATTTGCCTAAACATTTCACGCCATTAGAAAGTAAATGATTTCAATCCCAAGTGGAAAGCCCAATACAAACATAAAATAACACAGTTTAATGCAGAGGATGTGTTGCGTATTTTAAGTCAAGGCCATGAAAATGTTCTCAATTCTGCGTCTGTATCGCTCAACTGAAGAACGTCTAATCCAGAAAAAGGAGGCGAGTCAGGGATATGAAAGACATTCAAAAGCCTGTTTGGTTTGAGATGGAGTACTTCACTAGCCTGTTCCAGGCTCTCAGATAGTGGGGAAGACGCAAAAGTGAAAGGCATGCGAAAAGTTGGCGAAACGGGAAAAAGGAAAAAGGAAAGGATAGCCGCCTCCCTCCTCTGCCCAGTTTCCTCCTGTTTTTATTTTTGTGTTCACCACGCTTTCTCAATTCAGCGGACCTGACTATCTCGGAGCCTGGGACTGGCTAGTACTTTACGAACTATAGTTTTGACTTCGCCACAGTTTTAACATTATGCATATAACAACGTGTTTTGTGTTTTTGTTCTTATTTTTATGCATGACAGTAATTTGGTAATTAGCACCTGCATTGTAGCCAGTGCAGACATAAAAACTTTACTAATCTAAGATTTTCTTTTCTTAGTGATTGGCGATCCCACCATTGATGGATGTCACATGCACTGTAACCTTAAAACAGGACTACTGTGATGGACTTGAGCTGCTAAAAATAAATTCTTAACTAATCGGGTGAATTATGCCTTATTCATAACAGGCCCTTTGAATGACTATGATCACATGATCAACTTTCGGTAAACAAGAAAACAGTTCAATTTTGAAAAATTTTGTTAGCACAAGCTGAAAGAGCATACTAAACTTAGGTAACCTGAGAATTTTTAGCCGTATATCTCAAAAGTAGCAATTGATTAGAATATCATTTGTATTAGAAAAACAACTTTTGCCATCCAGTAACGCTTGCATGGTTTTCCATATAAATCCTGGGAAATTTTGAAATTTTCAAAACTGTTATGAAATATTTTCTTAAGCATTATGGGGCTCAAATCTCCTTTTAATTCATAACAGGCAATTTGGGCCCTTAACGACATTCATGACCCCACTAATGGCCCTTCGCATTTTGATTATATTGTGGAGACCGAACATAGATTTGATCTGAAAAAAACTAAACCTTCAAAAAGTTTTTACTTTATTGTCCAAATTATACGAAAATTATAAATTATAAATGTCCAAATTGAACAGTTCCCTCTCTGGCGATCAATATCTATCTCTTGGTGTTGATGTGGATGAGAATTTGTCGTGGAATGTACATATTGATAATATCGCTAAAAAGATTGCTTCTGGCATTGGTATCTTGAGGAGAAGTCTGCCTTTTGTTACATTTGAAGTGCTCTCAACTATATATAGCACCTTAGTACAACCATATTTTGATTACTGTAGCATTGTTTGGGGGAATTGCAACAACTCCCTTGCAACTAAACTGCAAAAAACTTCAAAATCATGCCGCCCATATCTTGACCTTCTCTCCTTCAAACTGCGTCTGTGGTTTGTAAGTCTCTAAATGGCCTTGCCCTGCAATATTTGAATTCATTGTCTTCCTATCGTAATAAAGTCTCTAGTTACTCTCTCAGGGATTCTAAGGGCAAGCTAGCTATTCCACTGCCCCGTACTAATTATGTTAAAAACAGTTTCAGCTACAGAGGTTTGGTGCTGTGGAATAGTCTACCTACTGAGCTGCAGCAAGGGAAAACTCTTTCCCCTTTTAAACACGGCTGCAGGGATCTCTTTTGAAATATTTTGATAATCAAGGCAATCATGTAAAGCAGGCACAATTTTTTCTTTTGGTTAAGAATCTTATTACAGTTAATTAGTTAAAGTTTCAATTAGTTAAGTTGGTTACAATTTTGTAGCAGTTCACTTTGCCTGATGAATTTTTACCTGTGGATAAATAAAGTTATTGTTGTTGTTGTTGTGTTACCAAAAAAAAAACAACTGCATCACATTCATCGTGCTTTTTTTGTACATTTTTTAGCCATCGTTGCATGACTGTGGCATGAAACTTTCTAATTTCACGTGCCTTCTTTATGGGATAGGTGAACGCAACACAAAGATTTTCTTTTTCTTTTTCTAAACTTATATACGGTCCTTTCAGATTCAACCCCAAAAATTTTCGTCAGCATTTGAAAAATTAAATCAAATTGAACAAGATCAATGAAGTTTGAAACAATGTAAATTCACTTTATAAGTGAAGTTTTCGGTTAGTTGTCATTCAAAAATTTTGCTACCACGGCAATGTGACATAACGACTTTTCCTCTCTATTGTACCATGATTGAAGGATAAACAAAGGTAAAAAAGAATAGTACAGTTGTACCACAAATATCATTTTCACCCTTTAAATCCCAATAGTGAAAACAGCAATTTTCTCCTAACGATATCCATACATTATCATGAGATGAGGTTATGAGAATTAACATTAAATGATCACCTAAGAGAAAATACTTTGATCTTTTAACAAATTCTCTCAACTCATTCTTTAAGGAAATGTATAGAGATCAGTTTGAAGAATTTGTATGTGGATATTGGGGCTTAAAGGGTTAAGCTATGTTTTAGAGTATTAAAACAGGGTTAAGTGGAAAGTCTCTGATACTGAAATGTCTTATTCTCATGCTAGTTAGACTCATTTTTGCTGGAGACCATAATATTTTTAATGGCATATTTATGAAGCGCTATAACTGTAGACTGAAAATATGGCTTTCAAGCTCATATAGACAGAACAAAAAAGTAAAAGTGAGCATCCAAATTTCATGTTAAATTTCATTTAAGACACTGTATATCAACCCACCTCCTTGATACAGAGCTTGCCCAGAAGCAAAAGACTTTGGAATACCTGAGCATGAACTTTGTGGGACTCTGAAAAAAGGAATCATTTCTGCATATAACTCATCAACAGATTTTAATTCTAGCTGCCTTTATTAATTGCTGCATGATCAAAATGCTATAGCTGCTTGGAAGACTTTATTTCACTATAATGGTTCAGTTAGTTGTGCGATGTTAGGTATCTATTGTGAAGTCCAGTTACTGACTTCAGATACAGCTATTCGAAAAAGGTTGTCGGAAAAAAATGTGCACGGAACAATACGGAAAGGTAATATGGGATATGATTAATACACCGTTCCTTGAACCTGTTGCAGTTAATTTTTTTATCTCAGGTAATTTTTGTTTTTCTTTTGTTTTTGGATATGACAATGTATGATAATGTATGCTAATGAAGTTGAAACAAAAGAAAAATAAAAATTACTGAGATAAAAAATTAACTACAACAAACCTACTTTTGTGGCTTTCCTTTGGCACTCGTAAACATATGTCCACAGCCTCTTGTGCCACTCTTTCGAATTTCTTTTAAGAATAGTGAACTCAAAACCACCCACAAAACCTTTTGGGATTGTTGTGTGCACTTTTTCTGACAACCTTTCTTGAAATAACTAAATAAATGCAGCAAATTGACTTGTCACAAAAGACACAAGATGATTGAAAACCATGGATGACTGGGGCATGGGGAGATACAAGTGTACGTAGCTTATCATCCATAAGGACCGATTAGGGTCAAATTCCAACAAGCCACATTGCCTTAAAACAGCAACAGATGACTAGATGAAATGGTGACAAAAGACATAAAGATGAGTTTAACCCTTTAAACCCTGAGATCAAAATATGAATTCTCATTTGTTGGCCCTATTCATTTCCTACAGAAGTTGTGGACTGAGAGACTGCTTCTGTACCTGTATTTCTGGCTTCACCTTTAGTATTCAAGAGACTAATAAGATCTTCTACCATCGCATGAACATTCACTCCAGGAAACGTTCCGATGCTTTCCAGCAAAGAAATAACTTTGACTCTGACGACAACATCTTCCGTCTCGTAAAATCTCTCCCACAATGTTCGAATCACAAAGTCAGCGACTTCTAACGACTCTAACGGAAGTTCCTTTTCAAGATCAACAAGAGTTTGAAGGATTTCCTGTTGGGTTGAGAACTGAGAAAGCTCAAAAGCAAGTCTTTTCGAAGCATCAATCGCTTGCCTGCTTCTCTTGAGTTTTAAAACTGGTTGACTTTGGCTGCCATAATCCACAGTCTCTACAGCTTTTTCTTCTACAACAGACGTAGAATAGTCTGGACTACTTCTTTTCATGATTTTTGATTAGTACCCGCAATCTCTTCAAAAAGAAAAAGAAATTTTTGAAACAGAGCTAGCCGCCATGATGGATTTTCTATCGACCTCGGTTTGATGTTACCGCGGAAGGTTGGGAACTAGACGATATTTTTTTCCCAGGACTTTGCTGCAAATACAAGATTCTGCATGTCAATTTCAAGATTCTGCGTGCCAAATCTTGAAATTTCAAAATTTGGTAACTTACCGGAAATTAAGTCACCGTGATAACTCACGGTAAATAACTCACCATATTAGGGGACCCGTAATTTACAAGTGTAGCCAGTGTTTTAGAGGCTGAAAAAAAGCAACTCTGCAAATTACGCTGCCCCCACTACGCTTAAACAAGTCTTATTAAACAAGTGACCTCGGGTTCTAATTTTGTTTCGCTTCTTAAATGAAATTCTGACGGAAAGCGACCACGTAAGAGAGAATGTATGGAAACTGCTGAACTTGGGCCTGATTTCATGTAACGTGATGGTGTCCCTTTACAATTTACTTGGTTTTGCTGTATACATCATGTTGTAAGTCACTGTTAGTTGTGACAAGCACAAAAACTTCAGTTCATGTTTGACTTGTACTTGTACATTATTGCCACATGATGTGTAACGGTAGAAAAACACTTTAATTTATTTGAGTGTCAATGTATTAAGCCCAAAAGTAATCATTGAGGACACTACTTTTACGTCTCCTAAAGGTAGTACCTTTATTTCTCAGTTATTTTGAAAAGCTGTTTGGCAGACCTGGAGATTTGAGCATTATACAGGAGAGTAGACATTAGATGCATCCAAGTGCCATTGCATCGTGTTAGTCCCAGTAAGAGGTGGGGGGAGGGGCTCCCATGGCAAATAAGCAATGTGGCTTGTTCCCCGGTAGAAATCCTATCTTATACACCTAATTGCTAAAAAAGCTAAAACTAAAAAGGAAAAATGAAAAGAGGAAAAAATCAAATATGGTGACTAATAAACCTCGAAAAGGTGCATTCATTGCTGCATAGGCGTTTTTGGGGCGTAAAAACAAATACAAAGAAAACTCAAATGCTCAAATGTTTGTATGTAACTTCACTAAACAATACTGGTCAGGATTTCGAGGTTAAACATTCGATTGATGAGAAATGGGCGAGATCGAGCCAATTACTTGTAAAAGTAACTTGTCGAAGGAAAAAGAAAAAATGTTAACTATTCCGCCGGCGATCAGAGCAATAACCCAGCAACTCTCAGCTTCCGCTATGATCAGATTTACGAAAAGCCGTTACTACTAGCGTAGATCCTTTCATGGAGTGATACGTACAAACTGTAATTTTATTAAAATATCTTATGGGCATGATGTTCTTACGACATGGAATACGCCGTAGGTGTCGAGTTCGATTCCCACTTGTAACATCAATACTGGTGCAGTTACGTTTTGATGTTTTCGTGAAAAGATTAGTGCCTCTTTCATAACGGCGGCCTATTGATATTTAGTAAAATCCAACTAGTGGTCTATTATCAATGCTGCGTTCTGATTGGTTGAACTACTACTAGGCTATGTGTTATAGCCAGTCTCGAAAAGCACCGGCTTTGAAAACCAAAACAATGTCGGCTGAATCGCGTTTTGCTAGCTAAAGTTGTTTTATCTCGATATTTTTGACCAACTAGTTGGATTTTACTAAAACAATTATTCCTCTCGCCCTCATGGCCTCTGACTCAATAGCCCACTCGGCCTTCGCAGGGGCGGATCCAGGATTTTTTTTAGGAGGGGGTGCACTCGTCTCTTGCTCTACTTCAACACCAGTAAACCACATAGTTTTTTTTGGCAGAATACCAGTTGTATTAGAAAACCGCAGGTCATCTCGGGGAAGGGGGGGGCGGGTGCGCACCCCCTGCACCCTCCCCCTAGATCCGCCCCTGCTTCGGCCTCATGGGCTCGAGGAATAATTGTCAAATATTCTTTTATTCGTTTGATAATTAGCCTTTCTGACCTCGTTTGAAAGTAAGAATTCTTTTGTATTTTGCACATGTTAACCAGGTCAGAAAGGCTAATTATCATACATATAAATTAAACAATATATTGATAGGCCGCCATTCTGAAAGAGGTCTTAGTCCACTGAAGTTGAAAATGGCGTTCGTGGCAAAGGTAAAAGTTTATTTTGCGTCGGTAACTCATAACAGTGCCTGTCAAAAACCTGAGGTCGGCCAGGAGGTCGGCGGTGCCGCTCATTTTCTTAACAGTGTCATGCATGATTGAGTTTCCGGCCATTATTGGGGGTATATGACATGGCGCTTTAAAAAAATGCAGGAGTCGAGCACGAAAGAGTTGTAAAACTTCCTGTTTTTCAAATTTACTGGAAAGAATCAAACAGGAAGTTATTAGGCATCTTTTGTTTACAGCTACAACAGATAACTCTCGTCCCAAGAGAAATTGAAGACAATTCTCATACAAGAACTTTTCTCTTGATTTTGATAAACAATACAAATTCTCCTCCCGGGGATCAATATCGAACGTAGAAAAAGTCTGAAAAATATGATGCACAATGTGGAAAGTACGTTGAGTTAGAAAAGAGGCAAAAACGCGACTGGTTTACCGAGCTTTGTGGACGATAACGCTTCCAAATAAACAAGAGAGACCTAAAAGCAATCCGTTTGAATTTTCTCTAATTTTCAACGCTTATTTTCAAATCGGCATATACGGAAAATTGCATGAGCTTAGCCTGCGTGGAAGGCTACGCAGGCTACATGAGCTTGGCATGACTGATCAACATGCCGCAACGGCGGACAAATAATTTTTCGCGGCAACAACTTCACTGACCTTATCTTCGACATGACGATTTCAGTACCAAAACAATCAATATGATAACAAATGAAACAAAGTTAAATAAAAGTTAAGTAAGAGAGAAAGGAATAACAACTGTATATTGAATATTAACATTAAAAAAAAATTACTTGGCTATATACAGCTTCTACGCTACAGATTAGGACCACTTTAACCTGTTTTAATTGCTGGACATCAAAAAATAGCAAAATGCTTGTCGACAGCACTTAGCCTTACTTCTCCCGTACTTTTTTTCATTGATTAAAAATGGTTTAACGCAAACAATAATTTATTGCTCTTTCGCAAATCACAGGAAGTAAATACCAGAGAAGGCTTTGAGGAGGGTGTGGATGAAAACTCTCTTACTGCCTATCATCCGTTTAATTACCGGCAAAGGAAATGATGCAGCTTTATTCAAAAAGAGAGAAAGAAAGATGATTTTTACCATTAGATAAAGCGCAGTTTTTGCATAATTTCCCCTCTGCCATGTGGTACACACTTCACTTTCAGCTACTTTCGGTAGTTGCTAGAAACAAACAGCAAAATCACTTTGGACACCTCACTATAATTGTACAACGCAATGTTGTTGTTTACAAAATAAATTATTGATTGTTCATGCATCGCAACCCCTCAAATCCATGAAAACGTGTACGGATATTGATACTTGCATGCGTGGGTTCACGCGACAGCTCCTTTTTGGGTGTAAAAGACTCCGCCTCATAAGCTACGTTATAAAGCTCTGCCAATCGACTTTGCAGTTCATAAAATCCTAAGCCATGGCGAACTCACTTTGCTCCGTTTTGATGATGGCATTGCTCGTCTTTAGCTTCCGTGGGGCTCATTCTAACTGCGAATTTCAAGAATTCACGTCCGATAAATGTAGAAGCGCAGACCACATCATCGTTGAAGATCAGAGGGTGGACAAGCAAAAACAGGGTCAAACAGAAGCACAAACCAGCAAAAGAATCCAACTCCCTGACTTACAAACAAGTGTGCGATGGTTTTGTGGCGACACAGCGGAGCGTGCAGCGTGGAGTAAACCAGCCAACCAGCTACGCGTGTTTTACCGAAGCGACGGTACAATTCAATGGAGTGTTTACAAGTGCACTGACCTCTCAGGTCCTAAGAAAGCTGGGGAGAACTGTGCTGTGCCGGAAACCACTGAATTCTGCCCCAAATTCGACGGAGCAAACTCTAGCGCTTGTGTGTTTGAGCTGAAGAAGTCGACGTCCCAGGTGAACTCGAAAACTACTACAGTATCAATTGAAGGCAAACTAAGGGGGGAGGTAGAGAAGCAAGCTGGTCCCTTGACCGCTAAGGGGTCAGCAGAGGTAACAGGCGGATTTTCCCAGTCATACACCAAGGCTAAAGTAGTCCGCTATGAATCCCGACGTTTCCTTGTCATTCCTCCAGGCTTCTCCTTCTGCGCTTTTACTAACAATACCAGTGTTTCTGATGTCCATTCCGCCACCGGCTTTCGTTGGAAGTGTTCCTTTCCTGAGTACATTCAATCGCAAGAACAGTTCCACAATGGGCGCTGCACAAGTCTGGAAATCTGTGACGTCGGTGTGTGTGGACGGACCCAGGACGTTGGCAGCGGAGTCGATTCAGTCCGAATAGATTTGGCTTTATTGATCACTATGGCGTGCTTGACCGTAGTGTTTTGAGCATGAACTTTCAACGGTGAACTTTGCGATAATCCAGTGTGTTGTTGAGAACCCAAAATATGACATTGAATGTTTTATCAGGTGTCACTTTAAAGGTTCATTTTGCTCTTTTGTAAGGGTTATATCTCAATTCGCCTTAACTCACTTTAATTTTCTGTTAAAAACACGATATGAATTCAAGTTTGTGCGCGGTAGTCTATATATATTACCTTACAATTCTAAGCGAGTGTTGACAACTTATGGCATTTTTGAATAGTTCTTGGATGTGTGTGTAATCGCCCCACTATATAGGTTATCAAAGGAGCTCTGCAACGTTATTTTTGCAACAAGGGAGTCATCTTCTTTGGCAGGCTGCTTTAAAGGAGCATTGTCAAAGGAAGTCTTTTTTTTCAAATTGTTCCAATTGAGCGAACATTTTTCTCTAGTGGTAAGCGGCAAGTGCAACACCAACAGTGAATTAAAATGAAGGTAAAGAAAAAAGATCATCAATTTCTCCGAGATACCTTTTCTTTGGACTTTTAACTGCAGGCGAAAGAAGCCTTGACGAAACATGTTTTGCAAAAAAAAAATACCGTTTTCTTTCGTTTATTACTCACCTTTCGGTT